GAATAAAGAAGTGGAACAATGTGCCCCTCCCACCTTATCTCTCTCCCTTTTCCTCTCTCTAAAAAAAGTAAAAATATCAAAACAATCACATAAATCATACTAAGAATACAAAGGCAGGATAAAAAAAATTTTATGTAAATCCAATGTTTTCAGCTTCAAATTAAAAACTGCATCATTGGTCTCAGCTCTCCCCCCAAATACTCCTAAAATTATATAGGCTGAATAAATGTTTGTGTGTCCCCCCCAAAAGTGTTGAAATCCTAAGCCCCAATCGGTGGAATTAAGAGATAGGGCCTTTGGAGGTGATTAGGTCATGAGGGTGGAGCCCTCATGAATGGGATCAGTGTCCTTATAAAGGACACGACAGAGAGCTCCCTCAACCCTTCCACCATGTGGGATTACAGGGAGAAGTAGGCCATCTATTATTAATCAGGAATTGAGCCCTCACCAGACATCACATCTGCTGGCACCTTAATTTTGGACTTCCCACTCTCCAGATCTGTGAGAAGTACTTCTATTGTTTGTAAGCCCACTAGGTTATGGTATTTTTGTTACAGCAGCTCAAGCTGACTGAGACAGTGGCCTGTGCTGATATCTTTTTGTTCCTCCAGATCCAGACTCAACACTTCTTCATTTTATCTTGCTCTGTGTCCTGTGACTCCTGAAGGGGCTCTAACTCTAGGCTTCCTTGCTCTCTTACTCTAATCTGGCTCTGGCCAGTTATGTAAAACAGGGGGCACTAGCAGCAGTTTGAGGGAGGGAGAGGAGTTCGGTCACAGGATATGCTCTCCCTGCAGGACCCCATGGGTTGGCTGTCTGTGGGTGGTATAAGCTCCATACTGAGGCTCATTGTGACCTACAGCACCATCGTTTGGGGGTTTACCTAAACCCTGTTCACTTTCTGTACCTGTTCTCTGTATGAAGAACATCTCCTTCAGTATCCAGTTTGAATGTTCCATCTGTTTCCTGGCAAGGCCTTCATAGGCACAAATAGGGAAGGTAAACGTTCTCCCATAATTACTTCCAAAAATTACTATAGGAAGATGCTGTTGTCTATGTTTATGTCAACTAAGTAAAGGTATTTTAAAAATACTATATTATGTAGAACCACAGGTTTTAGAGATAAAATGGGTTTTATAGATGATTTTATTATTTTTCCCTTTCTTTTTTAATCTTTATTGTTGAAAGTATTACATATGATCCCTCCTTCCCCCCATTAACCTCTTCCAGCCTCCTGTCCCCCCGCCCCAAGGCCCTCACCACCCCATTGCCTGTATCCAGGGGTTATGCATATATGCATACAAGTTCA